ATCCATCCATCCATCCATCCATCCATCCATCCTTCTATCCATCCATCCATCCACCATCCATCCATCCACCATCCATCCATCCATCCACCATCCATCCATCCACCATCCATCCATCCATTCATCCATCCATCCATCCATCCATCTATCCATCCATTCATCCATCCATCCATCCACCATCCATCCATCCACCATCCATCCATCCATCCACCATCCATCCATCCATCCATCATCCATTCATCATCAGCAGCAGAGGTGTTGGGTCTTACCGGGGTAGAAGTCTTTAGATTTGGACAGTTTGATGGTGGCTCCGGTCTCTTTCTGCAGCTGGACGATGGTCTGACCTCCCTTCCCGATGATTGAACCAGCTGCATAGCTGGGAATCAAAACCTTCAGGAAGTACTCGCCTTCCTCTGTGGCAGGAAACAGGAAACAGGAAGTTAAAAGGAGCACCTCTGCAATGCATGCTGCTTTTAACACAACACAACTAAAGACAAACTAATTTACAAAAATAAAAACTCCATTGTGCGTTTTAAACCTCGTTGAACCTTTGTCCTCATGCAGGCCTTCTTGTGCACTTTTATTTGCATTTGTAACAATTTTAACAAAGGCGTCTTTTTGTCTGAACAAAAACCGTGAAGTGGGGGGAGAGTGAGCAGTCTGAAAAAAACCAACGTGTTTCAACATCTCCACACCAGAACAGAGTCATTTGGACCAACCGTCTGTGGATCAACATAAATCCAGCCAGTCACATCAAATCATGACGTTTATCCAGGACAACTAATTATTTCCGTAATAGGATGATTCACCACCAGCGTTATCTTCCCCCTTTCTGTGCACGTTTGTTTGTGCAACCCTGTAAACGCTCTCGGCAGATTGGTCTGATCTAATTTCAGCGTTGGGTTTGAGGAATCTGGTCCTCGTCTCCATGTTGGCGTGAGGACAGAGAGCGGAGGGATTCCTGCATGATGGGTGAGCTGTTGAAGCCGATCAGATTTAAACAATGCCACACACACACGCACGCACACACATGCACACAGTGTGCACAGGTTATCGTAAACTCAGATCAAATGTCTGACTTCTGTATTTACATGGAGCTGCAGGTTCACTCCGATGCAGCATCACCTTCAGATAATCGTCTTGTTGATGTCTCTGGTGGGACTTTAGCAAACATTAATGTTTGTTGCATCGAGCAGAGAGCTGCGTTGGAAAAGACAAGATCAGCAGCTAAAATGAGCCAAAATCCCACCGATAATCTCCAGCTGTGGTCATCGCTCACTTCTTTGTGCCCTCTTTTCTTCAACCACTGCTTCGCGGACATGTTCACGGTTTCAGCCGCTTTGCTCGAGTCACAGAGGCGTACGGTCTTCTCTCTTGAATTTCAAACGTGTTTAATAATTTTATTCTTGTTCTTTTTCTAAAACGTTGCACCATCATAAATAAATAAATAAATGAATGCACGAGAATTATGAAACAACTGGTCCTAATCTATCTTCATTTCAACATGTTCTCCAGTAGCTCAAATCATGAACGTGGGCTGAGGTGCACAGCCGAAAATAAAAGTTTTTCAAGCCGTGCATTTAAATATTAACTGTACTAACATTGTTACTTATTTGGCAGCACGACGGCTCAGTGGTTAGCACTGTTGCCTCACAGCAAGAAAGTCCTGGGTTCAATCCCTGGTTGGACCTGGGCTCTTTCTGGGTGCAGTTTGCATGTTCTTCTCGTGCATGCGTGGGTTTTCTCCGGGTACTCCGGTTTCCTCCCACAGAACAAAAACATGCATGTTAGTCTGCCTTCAGGTCCACGCCTCCCTTGCAAAATAAATTCTGTGATCTCAGTGGGATTTGCCTGATTAAATAAAGTTTAATAATAATTATTATTATTGTGGTAATTACTAATCTTACTTCTAACCTACAAAGCTCTCAACAACCTAGCTCCATCTTATATTACAGATCTTATTGTTCCATATTTTCCTAACAGAGTGCTTCACTCTCAGACTGCAGGTTTACTTGTGGTTCCTATAGTTTCAAAAAAGCAGAATGGGAGGCAGATCTTCCAGTTCTCAGGCTCCTCTCTTGTGGAACCAACTTCCAGTTTGTGTCTGTGAGGCTGACACATTGTCCAGTTTAAGACTTTTATTTTTGATAAATCCTATAGTTAGGGTCGGCTTGGGTTTCCTGAGCCATCCCTTAGTTATGCTGCTATAGGCTTAGACTGCTGGAGGACAAATGGACCGTATTTCATAAAATTAATAGTTACAAATGAATAAAAATGAATAGTTTGTATTTGTAATTATTTATATCTTAACGTGCATTTATTTATTTATTTATTGTCTTTCCTCCTAGTGAGAGACCTGCTCTCCTGTTCGCTTCCATTCTGGACCTGTTCAACCTGTGTGGCCTGTTTCTACTTCCTGTTCCTCTCAAACCAGCCGGCCGCTCGTCCTGAGCCTGGTTCTGTTGGAGGTTTCTTCCTGTTAAAAATTAGTTTTTCCTTCCCACTGTCTCCTTTGTGCTTGCTCAGGTTGGGAGACTGTGACGAAGTGAAGATTCAACTAGATACAGAACTTTTACTGACTGGACTTTATGATGTAAGTGAATGTTCCTGTCCTGTTGTGATTGGGCGATATATAAATAAATTGAATTGATTTTCAGAATTCATGTGTTGAAAACAGCCGAATGGTTTGCTGGTGACAAACTCACAGAATCTGTTGAGACTGCGCCTGAAAATGTGGTTTTCTCACACTTCATTCATGATTTGGAGCCGCCGGCTCGTCTCCTGGCAGCGCTGTGAGGAGCCGCGTTTGGCCCGTGGATCCAGCTCTAACTGCAGCTGATGATCCTAAACTGACGACTGCAGCCATCTTTAATTATTAACACACACCCAGACGTCGAGACTTGTCACCTCAGATTCATAATTAGACTTTTAAACTTCCTGTGCCACTCATTCCAGCGGATCCACATGCAACTCTTTCGTTTTACGTTCAAAACATTCTGCTCGTATTTGTGAAAAATAAACTTCTCAGGAAATTAAATTATAATTTTTATTCCAATAAAACAGCGCGGTCACTCTTTTCAACACAACTGGTCGGCCGAAGGGCGACCATTAGAGCTGATTCATGCGAAAACATAAAAACGATCAAACAGGAAGACAGAAGGCAACAATTTGAGCCTCAGTTGTAAAAACTGACAAACAAAAGAAGAACAAATAAAATAAATGTGGTTTACTGCAGCTGGAACTTCACCAGATTTTAGTTTCTAAATCCAAAAAGACGGAAGAAGTTTCCTCCTGAGAACTGAAGCTTTGCAGCCACAGATGATTTCAACAAGTTGCTCAAAGGCTGAGTTACGATGAGCAGCAGCTATTAAAAGACTCAAACGTGACTCAACAAACACTGGGAACTAAATTCAACAAAACAAAACAAAAGACCGAACAGGAACCAAAAAGGAACCAAAGGAGCAGCAACCAGAGCAGCAGAAACGGAACGGGTGAGCAGCGGCACAGAAAGTGAAGCTGAAAGTTACAGAAACAACCGGAGCCAATAAAAGTGACACGACGAGGAGAAAACCGAACACGACGCGAGTCCAAGAAACCAAACGCTGAAACCTGGAAGAATTAAAGAGAGAAGCGTCGAGGGCTAACGTCACTCTGCGGCCTCCACGTCTGACAACTCCCCTAATCCCGTAAATCTAAATAACAAAACTTGGAGTTTATAAAACGTGTTTTTAAAACAACAAATCCACAGTTTGATGTCTCCTAAAACTGAAATCTGTCTCTTCGTGTTTATTAAACCAGGACAAAAAACCTCTGGAGACAAATTAGAAATAGGATGTACAGTAGTCCCTCGTTAATTTGTGGTTTGTTTATCGTGGACTCGCTCTATCGCGGTTTTTCAAAATAAGATTGGACATGACACACGACTGGCTGATTGATGGATGAGCCGCACGATCGGCATGAAATTTTCATTATTTCAAATTATTTAGCACCTGCTGCACATTTGTGCAGCCCACACTGCAGGATAAACTTTCTGCTGCAGCTGATCAGCTGATCTGTGCACAGAGCTGAGAAGTGGGCGTGGCCAAGAGTGCTTTTAGGAAGCAAAAAGCAGTGGAGGCAGGGCTGAAATCATGACATTCTGTTCTCTTTTAGAGCTTTAGAGTTTAAAAACATTGTTTACAATATTGCAAGAGTGTGGGAAATGTTTAAAATGTGATATATAATATATCGGATGCATGATAGTATCAGCTTGGTATCGGTATCGGGCGATAATATCGTTAAAGTTAAATATCAGACATCGGCCATTCCATCAAAATAACTCGCCAATATAAAAGATGCTGTTTTTGTTTGACAACCCAGTGACGAGGATGTCTACAGAGCCAGCACAACGTGATGACGTCATGAGCGCCCACCTGATCTGATCACGGCGGAGGGGAAGAAGTCAAAACTTCAACAGTGTGGAAGTTTTTTTTTGTTGAGGATGTTGGATTCTGAAGATTTATAGACTACACTGAGTCTCGCTACATCGTCCCCAGTCTGAGATAGTTTTCCGACGTAGCCTTACTCGAGTTACAAGCCGTCATTTCCGACGTCATGGAGAAGCTAACAGCTGATAGCACCTGGGTGAGTTTTACCTCAGACATTTGGACGTCGTGTTAGCCCCGTTAGCATGATTCGTCTTACGGCACAATGACAAAAACTTTGAACTTAAAAAGTCTGTCCTTCATGCACAGGAGTGCAGAGGATCCCACACTGCAGCTATAGGAACCTGGAACAAACCTCCACAAGTGAGACAGCATCACAGGTGACTAATGCTAATAACATTTAACACTTTTCATTTAATATAAGTTAAAGTGCTCTGCATATGGCTGTTACTGAATATATGTCACCAGCTCTTACAGCTGTTGCACCATTTTTGTAGCAAATAAGCCTAAATAAGAGGAATATGTTCTGACAAACGAAATATATTAAAAATATCGTATCGGCCAAAAATCCAATATCGTGCATCCTTAATACATATATATATATATATATATATATATATATATATATATATATATACTAAAATAAACTACTGCTAACTTGTACTACTATTCCTGCTTTGCAGTTTTTCACTTATCGCGGGGCTTCAGGGTGCACGTGATAAACGAGGGACTACGGTCTTCTCTTGTAACTCTGTAGTCGGGTCGGTCAATCAGGTGAACAAAGTAAGCACAAATTAAACGTTTAGTTTCAGGAATACAGACAAGAAACAAGCGGATGGAGGAGCGAGAGTTTTTTAAAGAGCCTTTTAACAACTGCCGTTAAATCCCTGCAACACAAATCAGCTGCGGAGCTGAGCTGTATGTGACACCGCACTATAAATACATTTATTTAGTACAGAGTTACACACACACACACACACACACTGCTG